ATTTCGGTTTCGCTGACACAGCTTTCGCAGAAATCTCGCTGTAGTCGTTTTCGTCGACAAAAGGAATAGCAAAATCGCTCTCCGCGTCTTCGCCCATTTTGTTCTGCGTCATTTCGTGAAGGACGCGTGGCTCTCAGCATGGGTCATCCACGCGGAACACATTCGCGCCATGTGATTGGCTGTTGTCTAATCCCCCTTGAGATCTGTGGTGTTAAAAATAACTCGAGACGAATTACCTATGGAATAGGGTGTATATGGGGGATGGCCTCTCTGTCCCCTTTATAGTCTCTTGGTGAAGCTCAGTGTTAGCTTGTTGTCCAGTCTCGTACCTAGGCCAGAAAATGCTAGGTTAGTGAGTCCAATTTTTAAGTCAAAACGTAAGTTCAAACGAGGAAGATCGAGAAAATTAAAGTTAATACTACGATCAAAGGATTAAATTTAGTTCAAAAGAATCAGAACGATGTGGCTCTCTGCCCGGGCCTTTCTTGACTGTTAACCATTTACCCGGCGGGACGAATTTTTCGTACAGGTTCGCCTTCAAACTGACGCTTAAGGTGCGCTTCGCAGAGATTTCTCTTTCCATTAACGCTAATCAAGGACCTAGGAGTAGAGACTCCAATCAAGCGATCGGGCTTCACGGCTTCCTTTAAGCTCGACCTTTACTTTCCCGCAGGTGAGGCGAAAAAAGACGTTGTACGGTTGGAGAGTAGTATTTTTAGGTCACTTCTTGGCCGCAGTAAACTTACTCGTGATCTGACTTGCGTAGATTGTACTTATACGCAACTATTTAAGTCTCATGTAAGCTTGCTAAAATTGTACGTTTGGGGGTTAGAGGCGGAATCACTTGAATCTTGATATTCATGATTCCAGTCGTTTTTACCTCCATGATTCATAATTCCTATAAGAATTTTCTTCCAGATTCATGATTCACGAAGACTTTTGATCACCACGTACTAGACTGCAAAACAGTCCGTATTTTTGCTTATTCAAGTACGCGCGAGCAGTCAAACAAAATTTCTGGAACGAGGCTGAAAACAGAGACCCAGCCTGGGGAAGACTGGGGAGAGGCGCTTTTTTCTCGTGCCTCACATGCCCTACGGGCGTGTAAGGCTCGCGCGCTTCACGCGCGTAAGACTCTTACGCCAAACTTTACCGATTTCTTAAATGATTTTGAGAAAAAAAACCCGACTGTTTTGCAGTTTATTTGATCACCTATTCATTGAATGATTTTCACAGTGGCTACGCAGTCTGGTCTTGTGTAGTTTCTTTGGTGTTCAAACTTCTCTTTTCATCCAGAATTATGTAGATTTTGGACCACTGTTTCTCGGTATCATCATTCGTTTGGTCCAGGTATAGAGTCTTTTGTAACTGAACATTAAGCACCAGTATCACTGGAGAAACAAGCGGACTGTCAGCCCCGAATGCATTCCGGGGTATGCTCCCAAAGAAAAAAATCTGAAAATCGGACGGTCGGAAACGCCATATCCGAAAATTATAAGGATCAAAACTGACCTTTTCGAAAATTTTAGCCAGAAAAAAGGCTCCCAAAATTTCTGACTAGGTGACCTTTTAAGGGTAAAAATCCGTTAAAAATGGGCCATTATACCATTTTTTAGATTTTCGAAAATCCCGGCTGCCAGAGGTAGGCAAGCAAGAAATTTTACAACAAATGTTCCGAAAATTCTAGATCTCAAATCGTCTTGCGAGCAGTTATTTTCCGAAAATTGACGTTGGGTGCCCCTGCCCGATGTACGTGCTAACTGAGGAAATCCATTTAGAAATTTAAGACGGATTTAGCGGTTTGTTTGTACATTTTTGAACTAGTCAAGGGTCCCTTCAATTCGAAATTCGAAACTTCTCAGTTTTCAACGCGACCAATCTCAATCTTGACAAATGTATCCATGCTCGTCGAGTAAACGAATTGTCAAAAGGTAGGTAGAATGGCCCACTGAAGTTCCATTTTCCATGAACTTCCCTCGAGCATCAGTGAAGCTAGCCTCCCACGCAGGCGTTTTAAGGGGAGCTCGTTTTTCATGGTGGGGAAAACAAGCTCCCCTAAAAACGCCTGCGTGGGAGACTACAGTGAAGCCGTCGGCGCCTCCATGAAACGAGACTGAAAATGCTTTGTATGCAATAAGCATAAGTGGATCAACAGTATTGAAACTGATTCCGACTGCGATGATATTTGGAACGTGTTCAGATAGACAAGGCGTCTGCGTAAATAGTGGCTGGTCCCAACTAATCCCATTTATAAAAGTTAGGGAATATTCTGTACAAATACCTGTTTTTTACCATCTGTCTCTGACAATAATTTAATTAATATTACTAATTCAATCAATAAAAATAATAATAATAATAATAATAATAATAATAATAAATGTAGTGAAAAAAACTACAACGACAACAACAGCAAGAACTGGCGACGGCCGACGAAGAGTTACAGGCGGGACAGCTATCTCAACCTTTATAGACACGTCAACAGTGTATGTAGAACAGAAATAATCAGCATTAGCTGAGTATTTCTGTGCCTCCGACTCCGGCTATTCCTTGAAAGCATTTGATAGATCATATCTTCTCTTCAGTTAAAACTTAAATTGTGCAACCATCAATCTCCCGAGGTGAGGTACTCCCTATAATGGCCTATAGGGAAGACTCCGACCTAAAGGGATACGTTTTTCGGGCTTCAATTATATGAAAGGATAGGATTTCACTAGTTAAGGAGTATCAAAGAGTAGGAAATCAGTCATTTCGACCGTAAAAAAGGGCTTCAAAACTTCCTGATTCAGTGATCAAAAAGACGGGTACCATTTGTCAATTGAAGGCATACAAAAGGGTACGTACCTTTTCTCTCAAGAAATGGTCAACTGAATGGGTAAGAGGTTGGATCTCTGAATGGAGCCTCTCCGAGTGTCGCTTATTTAACCTGAGGAAATTAAAACCGTGCCCTAAGATAAAATTTACAGCGATCTGAAAGCTGGACATCGCAAGGCGAGAGTTAGAAGGCCATTGGCTTTTTTTATGCGATCACACAATCAAAGCCTACTTTCGACATTTCACTTATAAACAACTCTATCTTGGCAATAGCTAAAAGCCAAGACTGAGCTCTTCAAAGTTGACGATTTAAGCCCTCTTTAATGAGAAAATGTATTTAATAAGCCTCAAAGAATTCAATCCACTTTGAAGAGGGGGTTAAACCACATTTTTCTCTTAACCATCGACTATATATAGATATATTACCATTTATCTAGAAAGGTCTCCAACTAAAAATGCCAACAGGAAAAATAACGCTGCCCTTTGTCGATACAACAACCGTCTGTTTAATAAAAGAAACGAAACGCTCTTCCTCTAGTGATAAGGGTTGTGCCAGAGTATGCCGAGGTTCCCGCATCTTTACCTTCCCAGCTGAACCGAGGCGAGTGAAGAATCATCTGCAGTTCAGTTTTCCAGCATTAAATCGCCACAATTCTTGTCAATCCTTTTCCATTTCTCTTTTTCTTTACACATAATACACTGTTATTTGGTAAAAGAAAGAAGTAATTCGAAAAATAAACTAGACAAATAAAAACCGGCACAAATTCTCAGGTATCATTTTATATTTGGATACTAAATGCGTCTAGATGATATTCGTGATGTATGCTTGGAACTAACAATAACATGGTGCTACTTTAATTACAGTTGATCCTAAGTTAGACAGATCTTCTGTTCTGGTAAATATTATCATTAATTAAAAAAAAAAAAAATTATCCTTCCTGTGACTTCACCATCATAAACTGATCCAGTTCAAACTCCCGTCAAGTCGGTCGACAGTCCATTCTCGGGCTTGAGAGTCCCGCGAGTGGGTTTTATTCTCAAACCGTCATTCAGGATATGCCAACTTCTTCAGACAGGAAAAAATATGTGAAGAGAACTTGTACAGGGGAAATCACCACATTAAAGGCCAAGGAGGCTTCCAGGAATTAAGAGCAATTGACATTTCATTTGATAAGCCGCAGACAGAAGTGAATTGGAATAAATCTTTCTCTGGGTCATAAAATTGAAGTGGCTTTAATAGTCGGAGCGTTGTGATGAGCATTGTCTGTGGTCATAAACTACCACAAATAAAGATTTTTTTTGTCTACCTATGGGATATACCTCGAACATTTGAATATTTATCCTGTTTATAACATGAAGATAATCGCTTCAGACATATTTTGAACAAATTTTGGAAATTGGCCGCTCGCTCTTCCTTTTGTTTATTTTATTTGTCAGTTTACTTCACAGGGCCAAATGTCGTTGCGGGTTCAGGAAAATTGAAAGTAAAATATCTCTGCACGGTAAATTAGTTTTCATTCACAGACACTTGTTTTGTAATTCAGTCCACTGTTCAGAGGGCAACTGGTAACTCTTCAACGTTTGTGTCACGCCAGTCTATCGACTAGCTTTATACACCGCTAGCCATTTTTTTACCTCCCCTAACTTATAGTTATGCGGCCCTGTTCCTCCCTCGTACACGATTTTTCTATCTTGTATAATGAAGAGTCTCTCCGGGTAGGCACCATACGCTTCAGTGGCTTCGTTATCCATAGTATCAACCAAGATTGGAGTCGAGCATCCACTGGTTTTTTTTAACATTTCAGCTGCCTGACAACGCTCTTGTAAAGTTCTGTGCTGCAAGATCTCAACGTTGTTCTGTAAAAAAGGCCAGAAAGGAAAATATATGAAAATGGTAGAAATGTCACAAATATACTTTATTTATGCTCGAAATTTATAGAGTAGCTATAGAGCTGATGTATTCGAGAAAATAAGTTAAAATAAAATAAAATATGCTATATTACAATTCCAATATTATTTATAAACTATATACAACATTATGCATGCAAAGGGAAATATAACTTGTAAATCTACTGTGGAAAAGCTTCATATCTGAGGATCTCCTGCTTGAATTCTAGAAAATTTAATGTTTTGTACGTGTCTGGGAGAGAGTTCCATATTTTGCTAGCTAAGTATGAAAAAGAGTGCAGACCGTAAGTCGATGTTTTTGGGTTGGGAAGGGCCAGGATATGATTTCCGCGCAAATTGTAGGATGAAGACCGTACGGTGAACATATCTTTTAAATAACCTGGATAATTCGTAAAGAACAGACTCTTATATAATGTGATCATGACGTTCTTGAGGCGTCTAATGAATAGAGATTTCATGTTAACTTTGCTCAGTAAAATGTCATATGGAGAGCTGTAGTCCTGTAGTATAAACCTAAGAATGCGCTTATTTAGGTTATCCACTTTATCGGCGTTGCGCGCACCACAGAAATGCCACGCAGAAGAATAGTAGTAAAAATGTGGCAAAATAAAGGCTTTATAAAGCTTCAATAGCGTCTCCTTATTAATAAGTTTCCGAAATCTAAGCATGACGTTAAATTGATTATTTATTTTCTTACAGATAACTGATACGTGGTTATCAAAAGAGAGCCTATTATCTATTGTCATCCCAAATATATCTATTGAGTTATTTACTGGGAAACTAAAATTGTGCTGAGATTGCCGTATATGATTCCAAAGATGTCGCATTGACCCTCAAGGGCTAAAGAGAAACGAAGACACCAAAGAATTGCCCTTTTAATTCATTTCTTAGCAGTGACCATAGTTGGTCATGGATCCTCTAGAATTAAAGTATATTTTAAGGTATAATTCACTGTTCTAAGTTCTTCTCATAGCTTCTCTATTTACGTTGTAATTATATTTATAAGTGAAGGACTGGAATTTCACGACTTTTAAGTGTCAATTAACCATATTTATCCTTAAGTTTTAAGGATTTTTTTTGCTGAAATTACGTCTTTCATTCTTAAGAGCAGATTTGGCAATTAAAGATAACGTGTCAAGTATAAGCACTATTCAAAGACCAGATTATAGAATTGTTTTCGCAGCGGCCACGCGGCCACGGTAAGCCAGGACTAAACCATTTCCTTTTAGGAAATTATTTTCCAATCTCATGCAAATATTTTCATCATTGTTTTACTCCTTGAAAAAGGCCGCTACGGAAACACTGTTAAAGAATTCTTACGTATCGATTACGTAATAAACTGAAGAAACAAACAAACAAAAACTTACATTCCACCGCCATTCATCTGTAGGATGTGCTTCGCAGATGTACACGATAACAAAGTCTGCCATATCTTGAAATCCCTGAACAACGTTCGTGAAGTTGTTCAGGAAATTAAACAAGAAAGGTGGTCAGCTGCGACTGCCAAAGTTAACAATCAGAGGCCGAGTTCCTCGTGCGAAATCCAGTAGCTTACAAGGTTTTCCGTCTGTGGTGACTAACTTGCAGTTTGGGGCGGACGAACCGAGTACAGCGGTCTTCTTTAAATCCCCGAGAAAAATTTTTAAAACAACTGCAAGCATTTGTTTCCCACCGTAATTGTCCCAGAAGTTTTGGTAAGGGACTAGATTATGCTTTTCCTCGTACTCTTGGAGTCTTTCCTTCAGGAAAGGAAGTGAGGAGGCGATTCTCAAAAGGCCAACGAGAATTGTACATTTTACAACTGTTAAGCCCACAAGAACGCTTTGAAGCAGCTCGGCCAAAAGACGCATTGTTGCTACAATAGCTAGTAGCTGGCAAAACTGATCCGGCAGCTTTACAGGCTTGAGTACGCAAACAAAAGCACTATCCGATAGATTAGCTCGTTACAAATGACTGGCCTAATTGTACGTCATCACAAAAATTGATAACCTGTGGAATAATTGGACTATAAGCATACTTTGGATGTTTAAAAATCACTTGTTGGGTCGGACACTTGTGTCTTTGTGCATGTCATGGAGTCATCTTGTTTGTTTATTTATAAACACCGCGCGTAAGGAAACTAACAAAAGACTTCTGGCTACTGGCGTGAAAAGATCTGGGCCAACAACAACAATGTATTTATTTCAAGAAATATAAAGTTTACAATTTTATGTCCTGCAAATAGCTATAATGCTAATCTAGGCAGGGCAAGACTTTAAATAAAGTTTCCACCGTTTCCTAGTTTCAATACAGAATCAATCGTGCAAGGCCTTAAGGCAACAAGCATAGGGTCTGGTTATAGGCGTATGTTAATGGTTTTATTAGTTAATAGTTAGCGCTCTATACATTTTTTTAAAAGTGTGTCAATTAGACACATTCTCTTTCATTCCGTTTATTTTCAGAGACTACTACTGGCTCCTGTATAGATTAAATAATTCTCTCTACACAGAAAAAAATATCCTGAGAACCATAAATCAAGTGTTATTGTCAGGTTATGTTACTAAACAGGCCAGCATTTTATTCTACCGGCGCACCACTGAAGACGTCTTACTCTCCGCCCAGGCACCTGAGATCTCAGCTGCAGATAGACCAGATAAGAACATGAGGTATGATCGCTCTGCAGAAAGTGATAGCTCGAGATCGCTGTTGAGCAGCTCTTTCGCCACCTATGTATATATATATTTTTTTCAACTCAAAAGAACTTTTGATGTCCTCACGACTACGTAAGGCAGATAAAGCAATAGGGTTAAAAACCTTGAGTACGTTAGGAATTTTGGGTACTTGTCGAATCTGCAGTTGATGACAATTGAAACAAAGCTGTGAAAAAAGAAAACCGCTAGTCGAAAAGGAGTGACCACCGCAGCATGTTGAATGCAATTAAGATAACTTTAAAACAAGTATTATCAATGTCTTCGGGAATGACTAATGAAAAACGACTAAACTAAGTATTAATATAATGATTAGCGAACTTGAGCTGCAGTTGTATGCGGAAGTGGGCAATGACTTGTGGTGGTAAAAAAATACCATAGAAAGGAAAACAAAAGTCTGTAAACAACTGCTGTGATGAAGTGTCACGGAACAAATAAACAACAAAGCAACCAAGAAAAAAGACGACAAACAACAACTCACAGCAGTTAACGCACGAAAACCGGCCCAAAAGTGACAAATTTCTGAGAACAGTTTAATCTCGAGAATTCTGTAAACGCCTGAACTGACAATGTCATCTAAACTGACTGAACACTGATTTGATGAATCTACACTGTAAAACCACCGAAAAATGTTATGGTTAGGCGGAGTCACATGGTTCATTGTTTTGTGAAAGCTACCAGTTTTTACTGCAAATAGTGACCCCGAAAAAATTCAATGAAGAGGAATAATCTAGACCAAGTTCAGACCAAAATAGGCAAAGGCTGTACCCGTTTTCAGACCACAACGGCGCCAAAAAACATACCCTCTGGGGCGGCGCATGCCTATAAGGAAACTAACGGATGAGTGAAGTCCCCGGGCGGGGGTTTCAGAAACCTTGCAGGCTTTTTTTGCTGATCAAACAGCCTTTCAGCAGTATTTAATTGTACTAAATATAGGAAAAACAATGGCTGGAATAGATACTCTACTTAAGACAAATCACATAGCCAATCTGTTCACCATGCAAAATTTCGCTGCCAAAAAGGTTATTCTTGAGCGAGAGCTTCCAAAATTGGGCTGTTATTGAAAGCATTTTGAGTTCAGTGAATGCTCTAGTAACAAAACGATTTCGCTTTTTTTTTTTGTAGTTCTTTACATAATGATCTTTTGTTCCTTTGGGATGCAGACACGGCATCTCAAAACAAATCTGTCATATCATTTTCGCGATAAACTTTGCTTAAAGGATCAGACAAAACAGATCGGGTCCATTTGTTAGTGTTAGCTGGTTCTATCAAATGCCCGACACTGCGGAACGGGGCATGCGACCACAGGTAGCCCAGTCTTCTTGCGTGTGATCATCTTCATCATCTCGCTTAGGCTGGTAAAAGCCAGTTGGGCAACACACCAACCACTAACAACATACAAAAGTAAAAATTACATGCAACAATAAGTAGAATGAAAATAAAGTAGGGTTATGGGCTCCTGAACTAAGGTATTGTAGTTCTTAAATTCTTCAAAAATACGAGGTATATTGGGGAGGAGCTGATTCCAATCTCTAGCAGTTCTTGGGAAAAAAGGAAAACTCGAACAGAAGCTTAAGTCAAGGCACAATTTACATTTCCGAGATCCTTGCTTTAGTCAGGTTTTTCATGTACTATCATCCGCAAATCCCACGGCAGCAGCAGCATTCAAAACACAGGATACTTGACGAACGTGTTTGACTTCTAAGTTTGCGTTGGCCATGGCGTTTTTTTAGAGTTAATAAAAGGTAACAGGAATAACTTATTAATGTTTTCCGTTGTTGAGGTTAAGTAGAATTTAGTTCGAGGCACGATCGCGATTTTTACATGGCAAGGTTAACGTTTCATTGATGGCAGCATCGCGGCCTGTTAAGGACTCAGCACTCACAGAAATTATCCTCAGAACGCAAAAACTTAACTTCCACGATCTGCGTTTTTGGTTCGAAGTTGGATTCCATTTGAACATGAGACAGAATTCGCTTTGTTGTGGGTACTAATCTGCTAAGTAAACACCTCCTCAAAGGCCACGTAAAACCCAGGAAGAACCACTTTTTAAGTGTCACCTTTGCTCGTCTTGCTGAGTGGACTGGAAAATTTTCAACAATAACGGAAATCATGACTGATCCGGCAGCTTTACAGGCTTGAGTACGCAAACAAAAGCACTATCCGATAGATTAGCTCGTTACAAATGACTGGCCTAATTGTACGTCATCACAAAAATTGATAACCTGTGGAATAATTGGACTATAAGCATACTTTGGATGTTTAAAAATCACTTGTTGAGTCGGACAGTTGTGTCTTTGTGCATGTCACGGAGTCATCTTGTTTGTTTATTTATAAACACCGCGCGTAAGGAAACTAACAAAAGACCGTCTGGCTACTGGCGTGAAAAGATCTGGGCCAACAACAACAATGTATTTATTTCAAGAAATATAAAGTTTACAATTTTATGTCCTGCAAATAGCTATAATGCTAATCTAGGCAGGGCAAGACTTTAAATAAAGTTTCCACCGTTTCCTAGTTTCAATACAGAATCAATCGTGCAAGGCCTTAAGGCAACAAGCATAGGGTCTGGTTATAGGCGTATGTTAATGGTTTTATTAGTTAATAGTTAGCGCTCTATACATTTTTTTAAAAGTGTGTCAATTAGACACATTCTCTTTCATTCCGTTTATTTTCAGAGACTACTACTGGCTCCTGTATAGATTAAATAATTCTCTCTACACAGAAAAAAATATCCTGAGAACCATAAATCAAGTGTTATTGTCAGGTTATGTTACTAAACAGGCCAGCATTTTATTCTACCGGCGCACCACTGAAGACGTCTTACTCTCCGCCCAGGCACCTGAGATCTCAGCTGCAGATAGACCAGATAAGAACATGAGGTATGATCGCTCTGCAGAAAGTGATAGCTCGAGATCGCTGTTGAGCAGCTCTTTCGCCACCTATGTATATATATATTTTTTTCAACTCAAAAGAACTTTTGATGTCCTCACGACTACGTAAGGCAGATAAAGCAATAGGGTTAAAAACCTTGAGTACGTTAGGAATTTTGGGTACTTGTCGAATCTGCAGTTGATGACAATTGAAACAAAGCTGTGAAAAAAGAAAACCGCTAGTCGAAAAGGAGTGACCACCGCAGCATGTTGAATGCAATTAAGATAACTTTAAAACAAGTATTATCAATGTCTTCGGGAATGACTAATGAAAAACGACTAAACTAAGTATTAATATAATGATTAGCGAACTTGAGCTGCAGTTGTATGCGGAAGTGGGCAATGACTTGTGGTGGTAAAAAAATACCATAGAAAGGAAAACAAAAGTCTGTAAACAACTGCTGTGATGAAGTGTCACGGAACAAATAAACAACAAAGCAACCAAGAAAAAAGACGACAAACAACAACTCGCAGCAGTTAACGCACGAAAACCGGCCCAAAAGTGACAAATTTCTGAGAACAGTTTAATCTCGAGAATTCTGTAAACGCCTGAACTGACAATGTCATCTAAACTGACTGAACACTGATTTGATGAATCTACACTGTAAAACCACCGAAAAATGTTATGGTTAGGCGGAGTCACATGGTTCATTGTTTTGTGAAAGCTACCAGTTTTTACTGCAAATAGTGACCCCGAAAAAATTCAATGAAGAGGAATAATCTAGACCAAGTTCAGACCAAAATAGGCAAAGGCTGTACCCGTTTTCAGACCACAACGGCGCCAAAAAACATACCCTCTGGGGCGGCGCATACCTATAAGGAAACTAACGGATGAGTGAAGTCCCCGGGCGGGGGTTTCAGAAACCTTGCAGGCTTTTTTTGCTGATCAAACAGCCTTTCAGCAGTATTTAATTGTACTAAATATAGGAAAAACAATGGCTGGAATAGATACTCTACT